ATTTAACTAGCAAGGAAGGAGGATGATCGGAGTTTTTTTAATTGCTTGGAAATAAATAACCAATTTGCTGCTTTAGATAAAAAGAACAGTTGTTACTACTTCAGAAAAAGGAAGCAAACTTGAAATACATAACTTTACTCCCATAATAAAAGTAAGTATAAGAGATCAGAGATAGTTAAATGTAATAAAACAAAGACATAATATAACAGGAGGAACAGGAGGCGTCTGATGTTACTGACCGGTGAGGACAGGAGGAGGCGGAGGCGTCTGATGTTACTGACCGGTGAGGACAGGAGGAGGCGTCTGATGTTACTGACCGGTGAGGACAGGAGGAGGTGACTGGTGAGGACAGGAGGAGGCGTCTGATGTTACTGACCGGTGAGGACAGGAGGAGGTGACTGGTGAGGACAGGAGGAGGCGTCTGATGTTACTGACCGGTGAGGACAGGAGGAGGCGTCTGATGTTACTGACCGGTGAGGACAGGAGGAGGCGTCTGATGTTACTGACTGGTGAGGACAGGAGGAGGCGTCTGATGTTACTGACCGGTGAGGACAGGAGGAGGCGACTGATGTTACTGACCGGTGAGGACAGGAGGAGGCATCTGATGTTACTGACTGGTGAGGTTTTTTTAATTTTTAATTTTATCTTTAATGCTCTTGGGATGTAACCCTTCCAATTTTTAATTTTATCTTTAATGCTCTTGGGATGTCACCCTTCCAATTTTTATTTTATCTTTAATGCTCTTGGGATGTAACCCTTCCAATTTTTAATTTTATCTTTAATGCTCTTGGGATGTAACCCTTCCAATTTTTAATTTCATCTTTAATGCTCTTGGGATGTAACCCTTCCAATTTTTAATTTTATCTTTAATGCTCTTGGGATGTAACCCTCCAGAATTTTTAATTTCATCTTTAATGCGCTTGGGATGTAACCCTCCAGAATTTTTAATTTCATCTTTAATGCGCTTGGGATGTAACCCTTCCAATTTTTAATTTCATCTTTAATGCTCTTGGGATGTAACCCTCCAGAATTTTTAATTTCATCTTTAATGCGCTTGGGATGTAACCCTCCAGAATTTTTAATTTCATCTTTAATGCGCTTGGGATGTAACCCTTCAAATTTTTAATTTCATCTTTAATGCTCTTGGGATGTAACCCTCCAGAATTTTTAATTTCATCTTTAATGCGCTTGGGATGTAACCCTTCCAATTTTTAATTTCATCTTTAATGCTTTTGGGATGTAACCCTTCCAATTTTTAATTTTATCTTTAATGCTCTTGGGATGTAACCCTTCCAATTTTTAATTTTATCTTTAATGCGCTTGGGATGTAACCCTTCCAATTTTTAATTTTATCTTTAATGCTCTTGGGATGTAACCCTTCCAATTTTTAATTTTATCTTTAATGCGCTTGGGATGTAACCCTTCCAATTTTTTATTTCATCTTTAATGCTCTTGGGATGTAACCCTTCCAATTTTTAATTTATCTTTAATGCTCTTGGGATGTAACCCTTCCAATTTTTAATTTTATCTTTAATGCGCTTGGGATGTAACCCTTCCAATTTTTTATTTCATCTTTAATGCTCTTGGGATGTAACCCTTCCAATTTTTAATTTCATCTTTAATGCTCTTGGGATGTAACCCTTCCAATTTTTAATTTTATCTTTAATGCTCTTGGGATGTAACCCTTCCAATTTTTAATTTTATCTTTAATGCGCTTGGGATGTAACCCTTCAGAATTTTTAATTTTATCTTTAATGCTCTTGGGATGTAACCCTTCCAATTTTTTATTTTATCTTTAATGCTCTTGGGATGTAACCCTTCCAATTTTTAATTTTATCTTTAATGCTCTTGGGATGTAACCCTTCAGAATTTTTAATTTTATCTTTAATGCTCATTGGAAACAATCAGATCCACCGTCCTCATTCTGTCTGCCTTCTCCAGGTCACAGGGAGAAATTTCCAGAACATGTCCACCTTCTGTTGTTACTTTGTGACTCTTCAGGTGGTGTTTCAATTCTTCAAATTCATCATCTTTCAGCTTCTTCAGAGTTTTTAGGAGAACCTCTGAAAATGAGTCCATCACTGCCTTCTGTTGAATAATAGAGACAGATTCTAAATTAGTCTCTGATCCACCTGAGCAGAAGGTATGTTAAGATGCTTTCTTGATCTTGCTGTGTCGCTGTGTTAATTTGTCAGGGCATTCCTTAACTGGAATGGATTCCACATACAATAGTTCCGACGCCCATGACCGTACCTAAGTACTGTAATTAATCTGTCGGCTCTGCAGCCCAGCAGCACAGGAATGGCTATCTGATTAGTAGGCAGTATTCATAAGCTGCAATCACCTCCTCTGGGCTCCTCAAATCGACTATTTCACTCATACCCCTGACTACAACCCACGGTAATCTGTGGCGTGGGTTGTGTGGGTGCTGCTGGTGGATAGTCCCACATTCGACAAGCCATAATGCACCAATCACAGTAGAGTTTTCTGTGATGATTTCTGTCAGGTGAGTGAACAGAGTTTAAAAAGTTGTTTTCAATGGGTCAGATTTACAGGATTTTAAAGAGCTTTGTCAGTATCAAGGACCATGCCGAGTGTTGGAGGTCATGGAATTTATATTCCTGGTGAGGGGTTGAGCAAATAATTGAGTTACAATGAACCGTTGTCTTTGAAGAATTTATTTTACAAAAGAGAATAAACAGAGAAGTACTAAAACACAAATCAGCTGGACCAGAGGTTCTGTCTCCTAAGACGGTCCCTAACCTCTGGCCCCGAGCAAAGGGATGCATCATCGTTTACACAGTCTAGGTTTCTATGTTTTGGGGAACAGAGATCCTCTCTCGGCCTTGAATGAACATTCCTGAAGAGGAACAACAAGAGAGGAAAACAGCAAAACAATCTCACAGCTCTGACCTAAAGTAAATGTGGACGGACTAACATAAGAAGTATAGGAGAGGAAAGGTTGAGGATAAAACACAAAGCCCTACATAAGACATAACGAGAATAGTAATAATAATAATATTAAAATATCATACATAAAATATTAAATGTAAGGGGACACTATTTTCTGCCTTAACATCGGATACCTGGGGCCGTATTACAGAAACTTCCTAACCAGCAGATCCTAACTTGGTAACCATGGTAATAAGGGTTAGGAACTGATTTAGGCCATTACAGATTAACAGTTCCTAAGTCAGTGTTCCTTTCCTAATTTTAGATAAGAAAAGTGTTTTACAGAAGCAGGGTGAATTCAGGTTGAGTGGGACACTTAAGCTTATTGGTACTATACTGGGTTACTTTTGTAAGCCAATCACAACAATTGTTATTGTGTTGTTGTTGAATGAAGGTCCCGTAGTTATTTTTCATATTGCTTGACTCCTGGGACCTCATGGAAAACCACCCGGCAAGTTTAAATCTATATAAAATTATAAGGATGATTAAACAATAGGCCCACATTTTTTACTTTTAAATGTAGCTATTTATACTGTCTGTAGATTAGAGATTAATTACAATAAGGATGTAACTGGATCAAATATTTATGAAAATTAGATTCACAGCCCTGACAAGGCATTTCAGGTTGAATGGGACACTTTTAATGCTACACCTCTGAGTCAGCTGACGTTCAATGATATTTGTTGTTTCTGCTCCATTTTCAGTTTGTTTCACTAAAAAAAATTGCTTTTAAAAGCTCAGCAAGAAAAGTGATAACAGATGTTGGATTGAGTATTTAGGATTTCCTAAATAAGACAGGATGAAGTAAGATAAGATAGGATTCCTAAAGTTTGTTAGGATTTCACATCTTAGACTCTTCCAGTCTTAACTTAAGACTTAAGATAGGAACTTTCTGTGATGCGGCCCCAGGTCTTCACTTCCAGAGTCCTCCACTGGTTTCACATCATAGCTGCACACAAGGTGAAGGAGCACAAACGCAGTAAATTATGTATATAATAAATTGTTTGTTAAACTCTTAAATTTCTTTGTGAATTCTTTGTGTACTTTTGGTCAGGGCTGTTTAGTTGTAGTGTGCTATTGCAACCACCTCCAAGTCTAATTTTAATGTGCGTGCAGCACAAAATAATAATGTTGGTGTGCTGTTGTTTTTAGATTTCCAAACGCGTCTATGACAGCCTGTAATGTGAAGAATGTTTTGAAATGGAATTTGAGGTGACAACGCCCTGGATGACGCTTCTGCTTTGAATGAGTTCACTTCCCTGTGTGCGTGTAACTTTTGGATTGCAAATTAAACGGCTCGACAAACTTCACGATTAACGATTATGTGTGCAGAATGACAAACAAAGCACGTCACTTAAAACACTTGTTATACAGCTTTAGACCACCTTTCAATGCGTCGTCTCTCCCAGGGTCCCACTCAGGGTCATTTTCCAGGACATTTTCAGTGATGGTCTAGCTGGTATGACAGACAGGGATCACGTCATACACTGATATGTTCCTCTCTGTGGAAGTCTGAGGCTCTAACCTTTCTTATTGCCATTGTTGGTTTGTTAGTTTCTTTTGGTCCTGAGCTCAGGTGCAGGGTCACAAAAACCTCTTTCAGACATGTTGCTCTCTGCACTGTCACAACGTCACGCTTTATTTAAACATCACAATGAATTTGGCGTATTGATATGTAAGTGTAATACGGTCCAAACTAGGACTACTTAATGGGTGTGCAAATGATAATTTTAATTAATAATTCATTAATTAATTCAAAAGTTAATTGGTGTTTTAAAGAATGCATCACAGGAAGAGGACATTAAAACGAGCTGTGGGATAAATCAGTTCATCACACTATCTCATACCATATCAAACCATTAAATTCCAGGACAGTTTACTTTTTCTGTCAGTTTCCATGTGCTTTGACTGGAAACTGAAACCTCTTTTCCAGGATTACCAGGTTTTCCAGGACGCGTGAGAATCGATTATACTTTTTCAGACATATTGATGAAAAAGAAACTCATCTTAAATTCGGACCAATATTTTATTATTAAATTGTTTTGCATCCAATTGGTCCCGCGGTTACTGCGCAGGCGCGGTCCGGCAGCCCGTCGTCAGGGAGACGGTTTGTTGTTGTTAGTTTCTGACCCGCGAGCATCCTGAAAACACCTGAACACACCACGAGACCGACAGCGCGAGGAGTCAGAGCTACTTCAGGTAAACTGTCCACCTGGTCCACCTGTCCGCGGAGCTGCTGCTAGCCCGGGAGCTAACGCTGCTAGCCCGGGAGCTAACGCTGCTAGCCTGGGAGCTAACGCTAATAATAACGGGAAACAGCAGCAGCTTTAGCTCCGGAGCTAACGTTAGCTCGGTGGCTAACGTTAGCTCGGTGGCTAACGTTAGCCACCGAGCTAACGTTAGCCACCGAGCTGCGTTCAATGACCAGCCTGTCTGTTAATGTTCAGGCATAATCAGCAGTACTTTAATCTATTATACTTAAGTACCAATACTACAGGGTACAAATACTCTGTTACGCGGTAAAGTACTAAAATATTAGCATCAACACTCACAGTATCAGTTCTTAAAGCACCATTAGTAAAAGTCTCAGCCCGCTGGAGAATACTAAATATTTAGCTAATTTTAATATGAACCTGTAACAAAACAAACTTTATTAGTTTATCATATTTTGTGTTATTAATCTGCAAAGAAACTGAAGTTTTCGTACAAAGTACATGTTTGTCACTTAACAGATGATTAAATGTGTATAATAATAAGATAATAAAATAGTTCTTCATAAACAGACAGAACATTACATAAATGTTGTATTTCCCTCTGAGATGTACTGCAGTAGAAGTATACATAAAATGAAAATACTCAAGTCAGGTACAAGTACCTGAAAAATTATTACTGTATTTCAGTGTAAACCCCCTTGAGATGCATCGTCTTATTTTCAAGGTGATTCCAAAACCGACAAGGACCTGATTTTAAATAAGTGTAGTTACTGCAGTATTTGAGCGAAGTATCTTTAAAGTACAGGTATTGTAGTACTTTGAAAGAGTGATGTAATCAGCTGTAACAGATCATGTGATCAGCTTTTCAACAAACTGATCAGAAGCCTGTTTCTTTAAACTCACCTGTACCTGCGTGACATCACCAGATGATGGCAAGGTCAGAGCGTGATGTCATCGATTTCTCTGCGCTGGAGAGAGAGCTGCAGGGGGCGATCGAGTCCGAGCAGAAGTACAAGAGAGAGAACGAGGCCAAGCTGAGAGCCATCAGCCAGAGAGGCTGCTCCTACACGGAGTTCAGGTAACTCCAGGGGCCTGGAAACACCTCCAGGGGGCTTCCAATGGGTTATTATAGTTTCCAGGGGCCTGGAAACACCTTCAGGGGGCTTCCAATGGGTTATTATAGTTTCCAGGGGCCTGGAAACACCTCCAGGGGGCTTCCAATGGGTTATTATAGTTTCCAGTGGCCTGGAAACACCTCCAGGGGGCTTCCAATGGGTTATTATAGTTTCCAGTGGCCTGGAAACACCTCCAGGGGGGCTTCATATGGGTTATAGTTTCCAGGGGTCCTCCGGGGGCCTGGAAACACCTCCAGGGGGCTTTATACACGTTACTACAGTTAACAGGGGTCCTGGAAACACCTCCAGGGGGCTTTACACTGATTTAGAGGTATCCTGGAATGTCTTGAATGAGTTCCTGGGAGATTGAGAGGGCTCCTTTAGACATGCTAGGAGTCCTTGAAGGCATTCCAGGATCCCTATAAGACTCCCGGGGTCCCTCAAGACATGGCAGGATCCTTGAATGAGTTCCAGGATGCTTTAGAAGAAGTCCTGGTGTCCTTGAAAGCCTTCCATGGTTCCTTGAAGTATTTCCAGGCTGTGTCTCCTGTGTGTCTCAGGGACCTGGTCCTGTCCTGCCACCTGAAGCCTCTGGAGAAGAAGGACAAAGACGGATCTCCACGGAGACAGCCCTGGAACCCTGTCGCCCCGAGCAACCGCTGACCTGTGGTCGCCCCGAGCAACACCTTCACTGTTTTTAATACTTTTACTGTGAAAACCACGTATCTCCACTAAACCACATGTCTGAGATCAGCCAGAAGGTGTTTGGAGATACGTGGTTTTCAGTCTGCAGCGCATGACCTCGTTTAATAAAAACTGTGATGACATCATGACGGACTAACGTCTTTAAATCATCCAAACTAACACATGAAACATTATTATCAGAAAACAGGCCGGTTCCTGCTGGTCTGTCAAGGATCAGGTCTGTGAAGGATCAGGTCTGTGAAGGATCAGGTCTGTAAAGGATCAGGTCTGTGAAGGATCAGGTCTGTGAAGGGTCAGGTCTGTGAAAGGTCAGGTCTGTAAAGGATCAGGTCTGTGAAGGATCAGGTCTGTGAAGGGTCAGGTCTGTGAAAGGTCAGGTCTGTAAAGGATCAGGTCTGTAAAGGATCAGGCCTGTGAAGGATCAGGTCTGTCAAGGATCAGGTCTGTGAAGGGTCAGGTAAAGGATCAGGTCTGTGAAGGATCAGGTCTGTAAAGGATCAGGCCTGTAAAGGATCAGGTCTGTAAAGGATCAGGCCTGTGAAGGATCAGGCCTGTGAAGGATCAGGTCTGTGAAGGATCAGGTCTGTCAAGGATCAGGTCTGTAAAGGATCAGGCCTGTGAAGGATCAGGTCTGTGAAGGATCAGGTCTGTGAAGGATCAGGTCTGTGAAGGGTCAGGTCTGTGAAGGATCAGGTACAGACCCAGAGTCCGCTCCCACAGACTGCATTCAGATTCTGTCCCGCTGTTTGTGTAAACTCAGCTGTGACCAGCAGGTGGAGCCGACGAGCTTTAAACTTCAGGCGAGACCTTCAACCCAGAGAACTGGAGATTAAAATGAGGTAGGCAGGTTTATTGTCACAATATAACACGTTCTAGAGTGAAATTTGAGTTTTGTAGCTCCCTTCTGCTGCACAGCAGACACATTAATACAGAATCAATAATAAAAATGGTAACATTATAAACTATGATGAGTGGAGCAGAGCTGAGGATGAACCAGAGTTTAAGAGTCTGATAGTTAAAGCTGCTCTGCAGTCTGGAGGTGCAGCAGCAGAAACTTCTAGATCTCTTCCCAGCATGCAGCAGGGTGAACAGGCTGTGGCCTTTAACTTGGCGTGAGAATGTTCTTCTTCTTAAGCTTCCTCAATGGCTCTGATGTATTTTATAATTATTAGCTGTTATAATTGGTCATTTTTTAAATGGAGTCTGGTGTGTGTTAATAGTACTCTGTGTAATACACATACAAGTACACAGGTGTGTTTTTATGTCTTCTACATGTTTGTAAACGTGGCGTTTGAGCGTTACTGATCTCCAGCAGGCGTCGGCGTGTTCTGCTCAGTTTGAGTCATAAAGTTTCAACATTTAGAAGTTTTCACTTCAGCTCTTAATAAAGTTTTTCTCTCTGATGTGAAACAGGAAGTGGTTTGAGCTGAGCAGGTTCACACACAGAGCAGGAAGCAGGACGGAGGTCTCACTCTGAGCCTTTTTATGGAGACTGAAACCTCTTACGCTCCTGCTGCTTGGTCCTGGGGAGGTCCTGGAGTCCATCAAGGACCTGCAGGATCCTTTAGAGGGCTCCAGAGATCCATGAAAGGGATCCTTGAAATGTGTCCTGTTGTTCTCTGTAAGGACCCAAGGACCTATTTCAAGGACCCGTGCAATGCTTTTAAGCACCCTGCCCTGACAATCACCCAGCTCATTAAAGGAGACCTGGAGCCCTCCCAGTCAGCCTTGAATCTTTGGCCTTGACCACTTGAAACCCAGTAAGTCTGGAAGGAACCCAGGACCAATTTCAAGGACCTTTGAAGTGCTTTCTAGACCTCCTGGAGTCTCCTCTAAAAGTCAGGGATTATTGTGATTGTTTTAATACTCTCTAGAGATATCAGGGTCCTTGAAACATATCCTTCCAGATTTCCAGAGGTCCTATAAAGAGTTTCCAGGACTCTAACGAGGGCTCTCTGAATCCCTTAAGAAATCCAATGGTTGTTCCAAGGTTGATCCAAGAACCCTTGAAATTGTTAAGAGTTGGGAGTTAAGAGTTTCATCATCCTTGTGAGGGCTGATTTTGCCCTTCACAATAATCCAGGAGTCCTTGAATTGAGTCAAGATGTCTCAGTGTCCTTGTCTTAAGGGAGTTCCAGGATCACCCTGCGATCCTTACAGAAGTTTCCAGGATAACTGTGAGCTTGAGATTGGCCGGGTCTGTGAAAGAGGTTCAGAGTGAGTCCTCTTCAGGAGCAGAGAGGATCTTTGGCTGCATGGTGATGAGAGAGAGAGAGAGAGAGAGACCGGGACCAGCAGAGGACGGACCCCCTTCAGACCTCCATCAGAGTCCTTGAGGATCACTTCTCGCCGGTGAGTCTGAAACTTTCGTCTCTTCTTCTTAAATCGATTAACGAGATAAAAACGCAGCAGGGTTTTAAAACCACCTCAGGGACGAGGATCTGAGTTAGACCTGAACCAGAATTCAGGTTTCCTGTTTGTTCTACTGCAGTACTTTACCACAGGAACAAGTATTCACATCGTTTACTTCATACCACATTACATAAATACAGAAGTATCATCAGCTGAATGTACGTGTAAGTTTGGAGCCTGTCAGAGTTAAAGTACTCGTATTATATTATGTAGTATTATTAAATTAGTATTATTACAGGATCAGAAATACTTTATTGATCCCAAAAATGAAATTATTTGTTACAGTTGCTCACTTTGCACAAAATATACAAATGAAGGAGTTTGGATAGTAAAGTATTTTATAGTATTAACAGAAATGATAAATAGTAGAGGTGAATGAAATACTAATAGTAATATAGAGTACTGGTAGATTGATGTGGGTATGACCCTTAAAAACTGCAGTATAGGGACCGAGTAACCAAAGTATTTTTGTGTACTTTAACTGAAATACAGTTTCATTTATATTTTTATTTTGTCTGTAAATAAACTGACACTGTCACAGTAGAAATACTCAAGTACTGCAAATTTGTACTTAAAGACAGAACCTGATAAATACTTTGCACTACCACAGATAGTACTTCTTCTTTAACTGAAACTTAGAGTAAGTTTGACGAAGGAAACTGAAAATATGAGACGTGAGACGTCTGATTCTGACAGGAGGACAAGTACTTGGGTCCTGGATTCTTTTCAAGGGTTCATGGGTCATTCCAGGGTCCTTGAGCAGAGGCCTGGGTGCAGCTAGAGATGTCAGTGAAGAGCTTCAGGATGCTCAGCAGGGCTTTTGAGGTCCTTGGAAACATCAGTATCATCATATCAAAGACATTCCAGGGGTCTATCAGGGGTTTTAAAGGTCCTTGAGATGCTCCTGGGATCCCTCAAGAGATTTAAGGATTCTGTAACAGAGGGGTCCTTGAAAGAGTTTTGTGGGCTCCTGGAAATCCTTAATGTGGTTCCATTGAAAGTGTTCCAAGGTGCTTGAGAATGCTTCAGTGGCCTCCTGGGGTCCTTGACAAGGCCCTAGGAGTCCTTGTAGAGATTACAGAGATTCTATTTCCTCTGAACGTTCTCCTCCCTCTGAACGTTCTCCTCCCTCTAAACGTTCGCCTCCCTCTAAACGTTCGCCTCCCTCTGAACATTCTCCTCCCTATGTGAACGTTCTCCTCCCTCTAAGCGTTCTCTTCCCTCTAAATGTTCTCCTCCCTCTAACCGTTCTCTTCCCTCTAAATGTTCTCCTCCCTCTAAGCGTTCTCTTCCCTCTAAACGTTCTCCTCCCTATGTGAACGTTCTCCTCCCTCTGAATGTTCTCTTCCCTCTGAACTTTCTCTTCCCTCTAAACGTTCTCTTCCCTCTGAACGTTCCCCTCCCTCTGAACGTTCTCCTCCCTCTAAGCGTTCTCTTCCCTCTAAATGTTCTCCTCCCTCTAAGCGTTCTCTTCCCTCTAAACGTTCTCCTCCCTCTAAGCGTTCTCCTCCCTCTGAACGTTCTCCTCCCTCTAAGCGTTCTCTTCCCTCTAAATGTTCTCCTCCCTCTAAGCGTTCTCTTCCCTCTAAACGTTCTCCTCCCTCTAAACGTTCTCTTCCCTCTGAACGTTCTCCTCCCTCTGAACTTTCTCTTCCCTCTAAGCGTTCTCTTCCCTCTGAACGTTCTCTTCCCTCTGAACGTTCTCCTCCCTCTGAACGTTCTTCTCCCTCTAAGCGTTCTCTTCCCTCTAAATGTTCTCCTCCCTCTAAGTGTTCTCTTCCCTCTAAACGTTCTCCTCCCTCTAAGCGTTCTCTTCCCTCTGAACTTTCTCTTCCCTCTAAGCGTTCTCTTCCCTCTAAACGTTCTCCTCCCTCTGAACGTTCTCCTCCCTCTAAGCGTTCTCTTCCCTCTAAATGTTCTCCTCCCTCTAAGCGTTCTCTTCCCTCTAAACGTTCTCCTCCCTCTAAGCGTTCTCTTCCCTCTGAACTTTCTCCTCCCTCTAAGCGTTCTCTTCCCTCTAAATGTTCTCCTCCCTCTAAGCGTTCTCTTCCCTCTAAACGTTCTCCTCCCTCTAAGCGTTCTCTGCCCTCTGAACTTTCTCCTCCCTCTAAGCGTTCTCTTCCCTCTAAACGTTCTCTTCCCTCTGAATGTTCTCTTCCCTCTGAACGTTCTCCTCCCTCTGAATCAGCCATGAAGGAACAGAACGGTGAAGAGGAGGTCTTGAAGATAATGAAGGAAGCGCCAAACGCCAGAAAGGCTCTGCTGGAGAACTACGACAACCTGCTGAAGGTGGCCGATTACTGCTACAACAACTACATAGAGGTTAGTACTGCGAGTACTACTGCTACAACAACTACATAGAGGTTAGTACTGCGATTACTACTGCTACACAGTAGTACAACTGCTACAACAATACATACAGGTTAATACTACTATAACATGTCTCCACTGTTTTCAGTCTTTATGCTAAGCTGAGCTAGCATGTCTCCACTGTTTTCAGTCTTTATGCTAAGCTAAGATAGCATGTCTCCACTGTTTTCAGTCTTTATGCTAAGCTAAGATAGCATGTCTCCACTGTTTTCAGTCTTTATGCTAAGCTAAGATAACATGTCTCCACTGTTTTCAGTCTTTATGCTAAGCTAAGATAGCATGTCTCCACTGTTTCCAGTCTTTATGCTAAGCTAAGATAACATGTCTCCACTGTTTTCAGTCTTTATGCTAAGCTAAGATAACATGTCTCCACTGTTTTCAGTCTTTATGCTAAGCTAAGCTAACATGTCTCCAGTGTTTTCAGTCTTTATGCTAAAATAAGATAGCATGTCTCCACTGTTTTCAGTCTTTATGCTAAGCTGAGCTAGCATGTCTCCACTGTTTTCAGTCTTTATGCTAAGCTGAGCTAGCATGTCTCCAATGTTTTCAGTCTTTATGCTAAGCTGAGCTAGCATGTCTCCACTGTTTTCAGTCTTTATGCTAAGCTGAGCTAGCATGTCTCCAATGTTTTCGGTCTTTATGCTAAGCTGAGCTAGCATGTCTCCACTGTTTTCAGTCTTTATGCTAAGCTGAGCTAGCATGTCTCCAATGTTTTCAGTCTTTATGCTAAGCTGAGCTAGCATGTCTCCAATGTTTTCAGTCTTTATGCTAAACTAAGATAGCATGTCTCTACTGTTTTCAGTCTTTATGCTAGGCTCTGATAACATGTCTCCACTGTTTTCAGTCTTTATGCTAAGCTAAGATAGCATGTCTCCACTGTTTCCAGTCTTTATGCTAAGCTGAGCTAGCATGTCTCCACTGTTTTCAGTCTTTATGCTAAGCTGAGCTAGCATGTCTCCACTGTTTTCAGTCTTTATGCTAGGCTCTGATAGCATGTCTCCACTGTTTCCAGTCTTTATGCTAGGCTCTGATAACATGTCTCCACTGTTTTCAGTCTTTATGCTAAACTAAGATAGCATGTCTCTACTGTTTTCAGTCTTTATGCTAGGCTCTGATAACATGTCTCCACTGTTTTCAGTCTTTATGCTAAGCTAAGATAGCATGTCTCCACTGTTTCCAGTCTTTATGCTAGGCTCTGATAACATGTCTCCACTGTTTTCAGTCTTTATGCTAAACTAAGATAGCATGTCTCCACTGTTTTCAGTCTTTATGCTAGGCTCTGATAACATGTCTCCACTGTTTTCAGTCTTTATGCTAAGCTAAGATAGCATGTCTCCACTGTTTCCAGTCTTTATGCTAAGCTAAGATAACATGTCTCCACTGTTTTCAGTCTTTATGCTAAGCTGAGCTAGCATGTCTCCACTGTTTTCAGTCTTTATGCTAGGCTCTGATAACATGTCTCCACTGTTTTCAGTCTTTATGCTAGGCTCTGATAACATGTCTCCACTGTTTTCAGTCTTTATGCTAAGCTGAGCTAGCATGTCTCCAAAGTTTTCAGTCTTTATGCTAAGCTGAGCTAGCATGTCTCCACTGTTTTCAGTCTTTATGCTAAGCTGAGCTAGCATGTCTCAATGTTTTCAGTCTTTATGCTAAGCTGAGCTAGCATGTCTCCAATGTTTTCAGTCTTTATGCTAAGCTGAGCTAGCATGTCTCCACTGTTTTCAGTCTTTATGCTAGGCTCTGATAACATGTCTCCACTGTTTTCAGTCTTTATGCTAAGCTGAACTAGCATGTCTCCACTGTTTTCAGTCTTTATGCTAAGCTGAGCTAGCATGTCTCCACTGTTTTCAGTCTTTATGCTAGGCTCTGATAACATGTCTCCACTGTTTTCAGTCTTTATGCTAAGCTGAGCTAGCATGTCTCCACTGTTTTCAGTCTTTATGCTAAGCTAAGATAACATGTCTCCACTGTTTTCAGTCTTTATGCTAAGCTGAGGTAGCATGTCTCCACTGTTTTCAGTCTTTATGCTAGGCTCTGATAACATGTCTCCACTGTTTTCAGTCTTTATGCTAAGCTGAGCTAGCATGTCTCCACTGTTTTCAGTCTTTATGCTAAGCTAAGATAACATGTCTCCACTGTTTTCAGTCTTTATGCTAAGCTAAGATAACATGTCTCCACTGTTTTCAGTCTTTATGCTAAGCTGAGGTAGCATGTCTCCACTGTTTTCAGTCTTTATACTAAGCTCTGATAACATGTCTCCACTGTTTTCAGTCTTTATGCTAAGCTAAGATAACATGTCTCCACTGTTTTCAGTCTTTATGCTAGGCTCTGATAACATGTCTCCACTGTTTTCAGTCTTTATGCTAAGCTGAGCTAGCATGTCTCCACTGTTTTCAGTCTTTATGCTAGGCTCTGATAACATGTCTCCACTGTTTTCAGTCTTTATGCTAGGCTCTGATAACATGTCTCCACTGTTTTCAATCTTTATGCTAAGCTGAGCTAGCATGTCTCCACTGTTTTCAGTCTTTATGCTAGGCTCTGATAACATGTCTCCACTGTTTTCAATCTTTATGCTAAGCTAAGCTAGCATGTCTCCACTGTTTTCAGTCTTTATGCTAAGCTAAGATAACATGTCTCCACTTTCAGTCTTTATGCTAAGTTAAGCTAACATTTCCTCCCCGGTTTCCAGTCTTTATGCTAAGCTAGGCTAACCCCTCCTGTGTCCACGTGTCAGGCAGGTGATGGCAGCATCAAGGCGCTGGAGGAAACAAAGAAGTTCACCACCCAGTCACTGGCCAGCGTCACCTACCAGATCAGCACCCTGGCCAGTAGCGTGCTGAGTCTGCTCGACGCTCAGACCAATCAGCTTCGTCGCATGGAGTCTTCCATCAACCTCATTGGTCAGGTGAGCCTCGTCCTCCAATGCTGCTGACTGAGATTATAATCGATGTATCGTTTAAAGGGCCCCTCCGCTGCCATCGGACTACAGATGTCCACGCACCGTCTGCGGCAGAAACTACAGGGGTGGAGGCACGGAGGCTCTCTCCAGGTGCATCATGGGAAATGTAGGCTCCAGTTTGTTTGATCTCTGCTGCTCAGGTTTAATCTCAAAAAGACGCTAACGGGAGCAGATTGGAGAAGTTTAAAGGGCTGTTTGAGGCTCAAGTCTTGGTTTTAGGGTCCAGATTAGAATCAGGTTCAGGTTAGAGCAGCAACGATCAACCAAATAATCGATTCAGTCGCCAGTTATTTTAAATTCGATTGATCGATTATTTGGTTTGGGTCCTTTTTTTAAGACAAATTCTCTGATTCCAGCTTCTTAAATGTGAACATGTCCTGGTTTCTTTACTCCTTTGTGACAGTGATGTGAATCTCTGTGGGCTGTGGACAAAACAATACACTTGAGGACGTCTGCTTGGGCTTTGGGAAACACTGATCCTCATTTTTAAAATTCTGACACTCAGCTACTAATCGATTCAGTAAAGCAGTCGACAGATTAATGGACACTGAAAACCGTGGTCAGTTGCAGCCCTGGTTGGGGACTACGCGGCGTCCCTACAGGGACAGAGGAACAGGACTGTGTGTGGTAACGGCCTCCTCTCCATCAGGGAGCAGCTCTGAATGAATGAATGGAGCCTCTGTTCTCTGCTTTGTGTTCTCCTGCTGTCATTAACAAACTGAAACCAGAGCTCTGATTTAAAGTGTGGCACCTAAAGTTTCTGCATTCCTTCATGCATTCGTCCTCTCGGAGGTTCACGGAGGTTCACGGAGGTTCACGGAGGTGGGGGGTGAATGTTTCATTGTGATGCTTGAGGTTTTTATGCAGCCGTTAGTTTCCTTCCTGGCACACAAGAAAAGGATAAAAACGTAATGCCAGCAGAATCTTTCCTGATCTCTCTTATTATCAGAGCTGTTTCCATCAGCGGGAGGCGAGCGTGGTTGCGTTAGTAGTTAACAGCTGTAATAAACAAGAAGTGTGCGTTACAAACCAGGAACGAAACCAGTCACATGGACCTGAGGATCTGAGAAACAAGCAGACAGGTTTCTAGCAGGTCGCCTGCAGCCACGACTCCGCGCTATGGGAATCTCCAGCGTGGACAGCAGAAACAACAAACACACTTATTCAGCAAAAGTGTTTCCTTCTCCTGTTTAGCGCATTAACTCCTTTTAGACGAAGGCAAAAACACCTCAAACTAACGTAAAAACTTTTTACCTTCACGCCTGAATTTACGCACAATTAGGCTATTTAAGAAAATGACTTATTTGTGTTTTCATTTCCTTTCAGGCTGATGCTAAATTTAGTGGAGATTGTTAATTTGTCTACAGAGTGTAGAAAAGATAATGTAGGTGATGCAAGTTAACGACAACAGGCACAATAGGTTCCTATGGAATATGCAGAAACAGGCGCTGGGGAAGACGTTCGCTATCTGCAGTCTGAATGGAAGCGGCGTGATGCGAATTCACGACAATCTGCGTTAAGGAAGGTTTTTTGAATTTTGTTGTTTCCATCAACCTTTCCTAACTGACAAAGAAAAGTTCTTCCAAAACAGAATTACAGAGTGAAAGATGTGAATTATAACGGCCCCGGAGACTCTCTGCCCTAAGCACTCTCCAGGGACAAAGACACGGCGTCCTCGCGCACATGTTGATTCCGTTCTAGCATTTAGCAGACAGAGCTCAGGGCGAGAAGCCAAGTGAGGAACTCTGAGCGGAGCCGCTGCTCCTTTGCATTTAAAGGATCCGGTTCAGATGTTCCAGGCACTCTGGGAGGAGGCCTCAGGGAAGGCCGAGGACCAGGTGGCCTGGGAACGCCTCAGGATCCCCCAGTCAGAGCTCGGTAATGTGGCTCAGCTGCTGCACCGAGACCCGATCCCGGATAAGCGGTTGAAGGTGGATGGTTAGAATTTTAATCACTAAAATGTCAGAAAATAATGAAAATTTTCCATCTCAAGTTTCTCCGAGTTCAAGGTAGGTGGACTAGCTAATGTTAGCATAGCATGTCATAACCAGAGTCAGTGGCTGCAGACAGAACATCAGTCATTAATCAACATGAAGACAGGCGCTTCGAGGAAGGAGAGGAGCTGCTTCAGGTGGCTCAGTGCAATCTTGGGATTGTGCTCCCCGCTCTGATGTGCGCTCGCTCTCTGTTTCTCTTCGCCCCCTCAGACGGTGGAGATGCACAAAGAGAAAGTTTCCCGGAGAGAAATCGGCGCCTTCACGACGGTGCGACGAGTCCCACGCAACCACAAGATCCTCCCTCCTGCTCAAACCCCCGCCGGGACACAGACCCGCCCACCGTACAGCCGCCGGCCAATCAACTACCAGCAGCTGGACGACCTGGGCCACGGCATGAAGGTATCTCACACAAACACTTCGTGCAGCTCGTCCGATGCAGAACTTCCATTGGAAAATGGCCAGTTTTATGGTACAAAATACAAAACATGTTAAACATCCTGGTTCTTGACCTCGTGCACCTCACTCAGACCATCAGCAGGCTCAAACACTCGGGAGACCATTTCTGACATCTGGGGTCAGTTCACTTCAGTTTGCACTTTAAATGGTTTTATTCTCGGGGTCATTATATTGCAAACAAGTTCTGTGTAGAACCTCACGTGTTGGTGTGAATCAGCAGTACGATCAAGGAGACAAAGCAGCATTTAGAGAAGCCAAAAAAACTAAAGCAGAAGTGAAGTTGTGTTCTGAGTGAGTCTCTGCTGGGAGACTGATGCTAACAGGAAGTGTCTGCGGCTTTAGCGAGCCGCACAAACAGAAGTGAGACTGCAGTAAAAGTTCCTCATTCAAACTTAATCTTCCTTCACTGCATCCTCTCACCAAGAGCTGTCTGCTGATTATTTCCTGTGTACTGTAAACTACTGCATACAGTACCACTGTACTCTGTGAAGTACTGCATGCAGTACCAGTGTGAACTACTGCATACAGTACCACTGTACTCTGTGAAGTACTGCATGCAGTACCTCTGTACACTGTAAACTACTGCATACAGTACCACTGTACACTGTGAAGTACTGCATGCAGTACCTCTGTACACTGTAAACTACTGCATACAGTACCACTGTACACTGTGAAGTACTGCATGCAGTACCAGTGTGAACTACTGCATACAGTACCACTGTACTCTGTGAAGTACTGCATGCAGTACCAGTGTGAACTACTGCATACAGTACCACTGTACTCTGTGAAGTACTGCATGCAGTACCTCTGTACTCTAAACTACTGCATGCAGTACCGCTGTACACTGTGAAGTACTGCATGCAGTACCACTGTACTTTGTGAAGTACTGCATACAGTACCAATGTGAACTACTGCATGCAGTACCACTGTACACTGAACTACTGCAAGCAGTACCTCTGTACACTGTGAACTACTGCATACAGTACCTCTGTACTCTGTAAACTACTGCATGCAGTACCTCTGTACTCTAAACTACTGCATGCAGTACCACTGTACACTGTGAAGTACTGCATGCAGTACCACTGTACTCTGTGAAGTACTGCATACAGTACCACTGTACTCTGTGAAGTACTGCATACAGTACCAATGTGAACTACTGCATGCAGTACCACTGTACACTGAACTACTGCAAGCAGTACCTCTGTACACTGTGAACTACTGCATACAGTACCACTGTGAACTACTACTGCAAGCAGTACCACTGTGAACTACTACTGCAAGCAGTACCACTGTGAACTACTGCAAGCAGTACCACTGTAAACTACTGCAAGCAGTACCACCGTACACTGTGAACTACTGCAAGCAGTACCACCGTACACTGTGAAGTACTGCAAGCAGTACCACTGTACACTGTAAACTACTGCATACAGTACCACCGTACATTGTGAAGTACTGCAAGCAGTACCACTGTACACTGTAAACTACTGCATACAGTACCTCTGTACTCTGTAAACTACCGCATACAGTACCACTGCGTACATAACCACTGCGTACATAACCACTGCGTACAGTACCACTGCGTACAGTACCACTGCGTACATAACCACTGCGTACATAACCACTGCGTACAGTACCACTGCGTACATAACCACTGCGTACATAACCACTGCGTACAGTACCACTGCGTACATAACCACTGCGTACATAACCACTGCATACAGTACCACTGCGTACATAACCACTGCATACAGTACCACTGCGTACATAACCACTGCGTACATAACCACTGCATACAGTACCACTGCGTACATAACCACTGCGTACAGTACCACTGCATACAGTACCACTGTAAACTATTGCATACAGTACCACTGTGAAGTACTGCAAGCAGTACCACTGTACACTGTAAACTATTGCATACAGTACCACTGTACACTGTGAAGTACAGCAAGCAGTACCACTGTACACTGTAAACTATTGCATACAGTACCACTGCATACAGTACCACTGTAAACTATTGCATACAGTACCACTGCGAACTACTGCAAGCAGTACCACTGTGAAGTACTGCAAGCAGTACCACTGTACACTGTAAACTATTGCATACAGTACCACTGCATACAGTACCACTGTAAACTATTGCATACAGTACCACTGCGAACTACTGCAAGCAGTACCACTGTGAAGTACTGCAAGCAGTACCACTGTACACTGTAAACTACTGCATACAGTACCACTGCGTACAGTACCACTGCATACAGTACCACTGTAAACTATTGCATACAGTACGACTGTACACTGTGAAGTACTGCAAGCAGTACCACTGTACACTGTAAACTACTGCATACAATACCACTGTACACTGTGAAGTACTGCAAGCAGTACCACTGTACACTGTAAACTATTGCATACAGTACCACTGTAAACTATTGCATACAGTACCACTGCATACAGTACCACTGCGAACTACTGCAAGCAGTACCACTGTGAAGTACTGCAAGCAGTACCACTGTACACTGTAAACTACTGCATACAGTACCACTGCGTACAGTACCACTGCGTACAGTACCACTGCATACAGTACCACTGTAAACTATTGCATACAGTACGACTGTACACTGTGAAGTACTGCAAGCAGTACCACTGTACACTGTAAACTATTGCATACAGTACCACTGCGAACTACTGCAAGCAGTACCACTGTGAAGTACTGCAAGCAGTACCACTGTACACTGTGAAGTACTGCAAGCAGTACCTCTGTACACTGTAAACTACTGCATACATTACCACTGTGAAGTACTGCAAGCAGTACCACTGTACACTGTGAAGTACTGCAAGCAGTACCACTGTACACTGTAAACTACTGCATACAGTACCACTGCGTACAGTACCACTGTACACTGTGAAGTACTGCAAGCAGTACCACTGTACACCGTAAACTACTGCAAACAGGTCTGAGTCAAAGCAGGCAGATTGAAACAGTAGTACTAGAAGTATTTGGTATCATGTAAAACTGAACTCTCAGACTAGCTTGAAAGCTGCAGAGAAGACTTCCTGTGATGACACCTCTAACCTTCCTGTGCTCTTCTTGCTCTCGTACTGATGCACTAACTGTACTTCTGCTGTTGGCGTTTTCCCCACTGATGCTGAACGAGCTATCAGCTCTGCGTAGCATCTGTTGTCTCCTGTAGATCTCTCTCTTTGCTCATGCTGTATGTTGCTCCTCTAATGAAACCCTCTTTGGATAAAAGCGTCTGCCACATGAGGAAATGGAAATGTACATCCTCTTTTTCTGCACAGCCATGATCATTTACAGCGTTTAGATATATATATATATATATACACATGTATACACACACAAGCACGTAGACACCCAGAACGTTCTGCAGATCATTTCTAGAATTTGCATCTGGGGAGAAAGTAAACAGCAACAACTTGATTAGGTTTCATTCTTTAAAGACGTCGCTGCCATTTTCTCAAGTTAGAGGAGCAACAGTGTCTGTAAACACCTTATTTTAATAGGCCCAATCATTTCACACCTCACACACAGACACTAACACACTCTAACACACACTCTAACACACACTAAAACACACACTCTAACACACACTAACACACACTAAAACACACACTCACACTCTAACACACTCTAAAACACACTAAAACACACACTCACACACACACACACACACTGACCCAGACAGTCTTTGTTGAGCGTGGGAAAATGTTTAGGGAGATTAATTAGAGCTGCTGAAGCCTGAGAGGCTCTATTGATGCTCTCACACACACACACACACATTAACACACACAACCCTCTGCCCCCCCCCAGGTCTCTGGGAAACAGTCGGAGCGAGCAGGAACCATCCGCAAAGCCTCCATCAGGTTCAGTTTTCTACTGTTTCCATTAATGACAACTTCCTGTTTCACATCAAACTCTGACATGACATCTGACTCTCTGACTGGGTGTGTGTTTGTGTTACTGTGTGTGTGTGTTAATGTGTTAATGTGTTACTGTGTGTGTGTGTGTGTTTGTGTTACTGTGTGTGTTACTGTTTGTGTGTTTCAGGTCCAACAAACCTCCAGAGCCGATCCTGTGCCCGGTGGCGCCCTCTGTCAGCGGGTAATAACCCTGAGTGTGTGTTCTTTAGTCTGGTTTCACTTCCTCAAAGAGACGTTTGAGGGTTCCGGTTAGAACCAGGTTCCCGTGGTGTCAGAGACCAGAGACACCTGCAGACGCTACTCAGGGCCAGAGAGACGCAGACAACTTAGTCTTTCCAGGAATAAATTTAGAGAGTTGAGCATCCGTTAAAAGTAAAATACAGCGTCTATCAGGCAGCAGCAGGTCTTAAGTTGGGGAAGTTTAAATCCCAATACAGAGTTCTGCCAGCCTTTAGAGCCTTATTATGATCCCAGAAGTGTTGAGTACCAAAAGGATTTATGTCAGAAATGCACATTATGGCTCCTCAGCAGTTACAAACAGCTGGATGTTAACGTGCATATGTTTGATACATTACAAGGATTAGCATTCATTAGCATAAACACCTACATGGACAACATTTCAGCAACCACATGGCTCACGTGGACATTATTTGTGTGGTTTCAGAGGTGATGAGGAGGCTGTAAGTTTTAACCCCTGGTGGGCAGGTCTGAGGTAAATGAAATGCTTTATAAATTGGACCTCCATGTCATTCCTATTCTTATCAGACTTTATTGTCCACCTTAGCGGAAATTTGTGTCTCCGAACAGATATGCAACAATGACACCACAGTTAAAATTACATTAAAATACACACAGTTAAGAGTACGACACTGTACCACCATCAACATACAACAGAAAATGGACAGCAGCGCAGCGGATGGAAATAAGGTTACAACCTACAGGAAACACATTGCTTTCAGTTTACATGCAGTGCCTGTATGGAATGGGCCAATCACCTTCCCTGCAATAGTTTTGGAAAGCTCGTTTTTGTCTTTAACATTCAGGTTGCCGTACCAGGCGGCTATATTAAACTGTACAATGCTTTGTACCAGGCCCCGATTGTCAGGGTTAGGACCCAAACGCAAGACACAACAGCAGGATGCAAAGCAGTAACACTAAACTGAAGAGGCTCTCACTGGCACATGGCAACGCAGGTAATCAAACAGGAAGCAAAGCCACACAAGGACACATGAGAACTCAATACTACAAAGTAAAACAGGAAGTGAAGCACACGGTAACGCACTAGCACAGATCTACCAAAGTAAAACACAAAGCATGGAAAGACTGCAAAATCAGGGCACGGACTGAGACCGGACCGAACAGGAGACAGGACTACACTGAAACATGGAAACGTTGGACTAGGAGGTAAAAAACATGCTAATAAACGTAAGAACCAACTTTGCTGCAAACCCTAAACATGACCAGATCAACACAGAGCCCAAAACCATGAAACCAGATACAGAGTAAACTTGAATATGTGAATGAATAAACAAGGCTACACAGAACCAGAACCAGACTTAAACTGGATCACATGAACATAAAACCACATTCCTAACACCTATATACCATCTCTGGTGTGAATGTTGAGACATTTCTTTAAATTTAACTTCAGTTTTAAATTATACTCCCTTTTCTCTGATGTTTAGAGTTGTGAGTGACCTCAGAGTGTCTGACGGCCTGTGAATTAAAACCTACATGTTCTGCATCGTTTGGATGATTGTGTTCAGAAATATCCTGCAGTTTTTAACAGATTTAAAGATTTTATTTCAAATAGATCATCTGTCCAATCCAGTCACCTCAGCATCCTCTAAAACTTCATAAAAAACAGCCCACCAGGAGTTGAAACAGCCACTTCTGGTTTCTTCATTTATTTGAAAATGTCAGAAATGGATTCAGCTCCTCAGTAGCTCCTGAAACTATTCCAATACAGCTGCTGAAATGTTGTGCATACAGGTGGTAATGCTAATGAATGCTAATCACTGTAACTGTTAGCCTCCAGCAAGGACCCATAATGTTTCTGACGTTAGGGCAACTGGGTCCAGATGCAGATGTCTGCAGGTTTAGTTAGTGAGGTTTTATTAAACGAAGAGGTGAACAGTTACAGGAACTCCAGACCAAGAACCAAGTCCTAAACAAACCAGGTGGAATCCAGACATGACAGAGTAATCCGAGGAACAGGTGATTCACACCAGACCATCAGTGAGCAGAGACAGGAACGACACCTTCAAAATGTCTATGAAGATTCTCAGTCATCCAGGTCATAGTTATCCAACGAAGGTTAAAATCAAGGGCAACCTGGACAACAGAACTAGACTCAGACTGAGATTCTACAGACAGAAGCACGGCTGTGCCACGGGCTCACCGGTATCCCCGATTGTGGCAAACATCTACATGGAAGAAGTGGAGAATAAAGCCCTCAACTCCTTCAGAGGAATAGCACCGAGCCACTGGTACAGATATGTGGACGACACCTGGGTCAAAATTAAAACACATCAACTCTGCGGACAGTAACATCAAGTTCACACGAGAAGATGTTCACAACAACAGTTTGGCCTTCCTGGACTGCGCTGTACACATTGAAGAGGACACAGAAAACCCCCACACACAGACCAATACCTACTGTTCGATTCCCACCATCCACTGGAGCACAAGCTAGGGGTCATGAGAACACTGCACCACAGAGCGGAAAACATACCAACAAGCGCCCAAGCCAGAGAGAAGGACCAGAACCACCTGAAGGGGGCACTTACAGCCTGTGGAGACCCTAAATGGACCTTTGTGAAAACAGCCACAAGATCCAAGAAGAACAAAACTACAGGGGAGGAAAAGAAGGTCAAACGCAACAACATTGTGATTCCATATGTGTCTGGAGTATCAGAGAAACTCAGGAGGATTTTCAACAAACACAACATCCCTGTGTTTTTTAAACCCAAGAACACACTAAGACAGATGCTGGTCCACCCCAAAGACCGCACACCCAAACACAAGAAAAGCAATCTAGTGTATGCGGTCCAATGCAGTGAGGAATGCACAGACCTGTATATTGGGGAGACTAAACAACCACGACACAAACGCATGGCTCAACACAGAAGGGCCAACTCCTCAGGTCAAGACTCTGCAGTCTACTTACATCTGAAGGACAGAGGACACTCGTTTGAGGACCACCAGGTGCACATTTTAGACAGAGAAGATGGATGGTTTGAAAGAGGTGTCAAGGAAGCATCTACACCAGGGTCGAGAAGCCGTCATTGAACAGAGGAGGGGGTCTACGCCACCACTTATCCCCCACTTACAATGCTGTCCTTTCATCACTTCCTAGGAAACTCAACAAACGTAACCTATTGGCCTCAGGTGAAGATACCAACGATGGTCGTTCAGTCTTGGCCTCAGGTGAAGACACCAACGATGGTCGTTCAGTCTTGGCCTCAGGTGAAGATACCAACGATGGTCGTTCAGTCTTGGCCTCAGGTAGTCTTAATGACCGTAACGACTGTCGTCACAGCAACAAGGAACACTAACGAACCAGCGGTATCGATGACCCGGGCCAACGACCCCACTGAGGTTAAATAGCTGAGTTTCCCTGCCAGTCAGTCAGAACTGAAGAAGTCCTTTGGATGAGGGACGAAACGTCTTCCAGTATCTTCAACCAAGTCCAGTTGCCCTTGATTTTAACCTTCGTTGGACACCTTCAAAGTAAAACAGGAAACGTGAAAAACGGTGAACCCTGAAACCGTTTAGACCAGCGAGGATAAAGTTAGTGACAGAAACACCTGTCAGTGTCTTTATACCTGTGTCTGTGGTCACCCGGCTGTGAAAACAAACGCGCCTCCGAGACAATAATAGAGTCTAAGCCCCGCCCCTTCCTGTGGACCACCATGAGACCTTATTTCAGAAAAAACATGTACTGTAGTTAACGGTTTGCAAGCAGTGAACGTTAGCTTAGCATTGCAGTGCTAACATGCTGGTGACGTGTATTGTGCGAGGCAAGAAACTAAACGTTCACTGTTTGTTATTCAACTGTTTTACGACAAACTGCGACTTTCTTGACTTAAATGATTTTTAAACTGACAAACACCCTGAGTGTAGTATAATAACCCATGGTGGTCGACAGGAAGGGGCGGGGCTCAGACACACTATAAAATCTTCGGTTGTTATCGTCAGCGTCCGTTTGCCCTGAGTTTTACCTCTCAGGCGTCGCCTTGTCTAATGCTCCTTTTAACCTTGAAAGTCGGAGCCGGGAATAACGTCACATACGACCATCCGGTTACAAGTCATAAAACCTCGTTCAGCCAGGTTAGCCTTTGGTAACGCCGGTTAATAGAGAAACACGTTCTGTCTTCTGTGGAGTTTTTCCGTTTGGACCACGTATGAAAGTGGTTCAAATCTGAACTGGAACAGACCAGAGTCCATGTGAGACACGTCAGATCCGAGTCACAGAATCCAAGAAGCAAAATAAAACTTCTGTAGAGGAAACTGACTTTATCTCTGTTTTTATCCATCCATCTGCCTCTCAGCTCCAGTTTTGGGAAACCCGTAGCTCCGCCCACCATCCCCACCATCTGCCAGGATCCACCTGTGTGTGACATCATCGCCGAGCTGCTGGTAGATGCCCCGCCTCCTTTTCCCACAGCGAATGAATTTTCAGCTCAGGACGAGGCGGTCACCAACACCTCGCCGCTGCCCCCTCCGCCTCCTCCTCCACCTGGATCATCAGGGGGACACATGGCGGCGCTGCCTCCGCCTCCTCCTCCTCCACCTGGATCGTCAGCAGACATGATGGCGCTGCCTCCTCCTCCGCCTCCTCCGCCTCTGTCGTCAGTTGATATGATGGCGCTGCCTCCTCCACCTCCACCCCCTCCTTCTGGAGTTCTGACCAATCACATCGCTCCACCGCCGGCTCCGCCCCTCAGCCTGGAGACAGGTGGGTACTGATCCCGCAGGTCGGTGGATGTTAGCGTGACGGTTACATTACTGAATCGTCATGGTAACATCACATTACTCCGGTTAATCACTGGTCAAACTGTGTGACATCACAATGACATCACATCTCTGTCTCCTCAGTGGTGGAGGAGACCCTCCTCCCCCCTCCCTCCCCGCCTCCTCCCTCTGATGACGACGGCTTCCCTCCGCTGCCCAATGATGGCTCAGAACTGCTAGCCCCGCCCCCTCCACCTCCTCCCAGCCAGGAAGTAGACGGTACCTGTTCTGTTTACTTGAGACTGTGATGCTAAGCTACAGCTAGTTAGCCATAACGCTGCTTCTCTGTAAGCTAATAGCCGTTAGCCATTAGCTACCACGTGATAGCTGTGTCACGTGTGCACGTGTCAAGTCATGTGCACGCCACGTGTGAGTCCTCAGCTTCCGACCAGAAGCACACTGAAAGGCTGCTGCTGCGCCGTAAGGAAGCCACTGCACCAAACTCAATGACAAAATGCTGCAATTTAAGGCTGTCGTTCTTCTTCTGTGTTCTTCTGTTTCTTCTTCGCTGGTGTTTTCTCAGCTTCTTCTGTGGTATTTTTCTTCAGTGACTCTCCCGCCCAGGAGGAGTCGCCACCGTCGCTCGCCCCCCACCACTCGCTCTCTCTCCATGAGGGTCCGCTCTGGCCCCGCCTCCCGCTGCCGCTATACGCGCTCTCTCTTCCTGCCTGCTGTCCAATCATGTAAGCCGACCGAGAGCGCCGCGGTCCTCCAGTAGAAACTGAGCACAGCTGAAAGATTCACACACAGAATAGAAATAAAGAAGTCCTTGAGGAAGTTTTAAGGGTCCTTGAGAAAGTTCTAAGGGTCAGTGAGGAAGTTGAAACAGTCACTAATGAGAATCTAAGGGTACTTGAGAAGGATAGGGGTCTCTGGGGAAGTTCCAGGGGCCTTTGAGTTGATTCTAGGAGTCCTTAATAGTAGTGCTTGAGGAAGATTTAAGGAGATCCAGGGGTCATTGATTAAGTTCTAGCTGTCCTTGGGTGGGTTGGATGTGAGTTCTTGAGGTCTACGGGTCATTGAGGAAACTTTCTGAGTTGTAAGAATCCTGAAGGACCTTCCAGGAATCCTTGAGGAAGTTACGTCTTTAGAACGTTTAAGGGCCTTGAGGAGGTTCCAGGAGTCATTGAGGAAGTGGTACCTTGGAACAGTGCCTAAACTTTAGGGGGTTTCAGAAGGTTCAAGGAGTGCCTGGAGAAATTGCTACGGCCTTGGGGAGGTTTTAGGGGTTGCTGAGGTCCTGGAGAAGGTTCCTGGAAGGTTCCAGGAGCCCCAGGCCTTTCCTTGAGTCTGTTATTGAGATTGATAGCGGAGCCTGCAGCGCCCCCTGCTGTTGGTACTGACTCTCTGTCTCTGTCTGTCAGTGATGATCCCCCCTCCTCCCCCCTACCCTCCCCCCCGCGCTCCTCCTCACCCCCCCCACTCCTCCTCCTCCTCCTCCTCCTCCTCCTCTCGGCTCTGCTTACCTGCTCGCCTCGAACACCTGGGTAAGAAAACACAGCAATACTGCTGTTGGTATGTAGTACTGTAGTACTGTAGTACTGTAGTACTGTAGTACCAGACCTAGACGTAGTACAGTAGTATAAATATTTGTATTAGTATAGTAGTATTTGTAGTATATAAGTATAGTATTTGTAGTTCTGCATATTACCATGACCATCTAAGTAGTAGTACTACACGTCAGAGTACACACACCATGTAAAAGCTGTCAGCTCCTATCAGCTCGCTGCTTTCTGTCAAAGCCCCGCCTCCTCAAACCCGATTGGCCAATCACAGCTGCCTGTGTGCTGTTCTTAGATCTGGAGATCTCAGCCATGCCTCCTCCTCTCCTATTGGGCGGCGAGGGAGGTTTTGATGACATCATGCCGCCCCTCCCGCCACCAGTGGACTACGACACCGACGCCCCCCCACACTACCTGGAGAAAGGTACCGTTACTACTACTACTACTGCTAGTACTACTGCTAGTACTACTTCTGCTAGTACTATGAATCCTGGACGCAGTACTCTGTATTCCTGATATCTGTCTCACACTCGTCCATCAGAGGGTCACTAGTGAAGCCAGCGCCGCACTAGTGACCCTCTGAACATCTTACTAGTGTTCACCCCCCCACTCAGCCTCTGTTCCACCAGAAGGTTCCAGCTGGACTCAGTGTGGCAGGTCACCAGAGCGGCGTCGTACCAAACTGCTGTGGCGGCGTCTGGTGCGAGTTTAATGAAGAGACGCACGATTAGAGTTTAATAACAAACCGATAAAGCCGTCAGGTTCTTAAGCAGAAACATATGAACGCAGCAGTTCTGCCGCTCCAACAGCGCGACCCGATGAATAAACATTAAAGGTTCTGCTGTGTTCTGCCTGGTTCACGTAATGAAACATCTCCAGCCGCCAGCTCCGGAGACGAGACGACCTCGGTGGGGTTAGGAATCCTAACCTGAGCTAACGTTAGCAGCAGCAGCTCAGCCGGAAATCACGCCGGCGGGGTTTCCACGCCACCTTGAAACCTCGACGGAGGTGATACTGAAAAAAGTAGCAGGAACCATTTTCCCCCGTGGAAACCAGGGAAGGCGAGTGGAGCTGGGACCAGACGGAGAGCAGTTACAGTTTACAGGAGATATGAGTTAAAGTTCTTACAGCTAGGAACAGATTCAGGGCTGCAGCCGTCACCTCCGGGGAGGGGAGGGGGCGGGTCTTAGCTGACCATTACATCACCAGCTGACTGAGCGTTAACGTGAGCCGCTGATGCTAAGATAACATTAGCAATGCTAACGTGTCACGTAGAGACTAAGCGATGATCCGTGTGTGAGACAAACAGCTGTCCTCTAACTGCACTTCTCCCGTGTGTCCAGTGGTGGCGCTCTACAGCTACGAGGCGCTGAAGCCTGACGACCTGTCGTTCGCCGAGGGCGACGTCATCTACCTGACGCATCGCCATGACGACGGCTGGTGCGAGGGGCTTCTCAACGGCAACAGGGGCTTCTTCCCCGAAAACTACGTCCAATCGTGCGGCTAGGAACGAAGCCCCGCCCTCTGCTGCCCCCCACAGGTTAAACACGGGAACTGCAGGAACAAAACAGAGAAGAAGTACTTTATATTCAGAGATCCAACTTAGAGTAAATATACACAGAGAGAAAGTACTTTCTATTCAGAGATCCAACAACTTAGAGTAAATATACACAGAGAGAAAGTACTTTCTATTCAGAGATCCAACAACTTAGAGTAAATATACACAGAGAGAAAGTACTTTCTATTCAGAGATCCAACTTAGAGTAAATATACACAGAGAGAAAGTACTTTATATTCAGACATCCAACAACTTAGAGTAAATATACACAGAGAGAAAGTACTTTCTATTCAGAGATCCAACAACTTAGAGTAAATATACACAGAGAGAAAGTACTTTCTATTCAGAGATCCAACAACTTAGAGTAAATATACACAGAGAGAAAGTACTTTCTATTCAGAGATCCAACTTAGAGTAAATATACACAGAGAGAAAGTACTTTATATTCAGACATCCAACAACTTAGAGTAAATATACACAGAGAGAAAGTACTTTATATTCAGAGATCCAACAACTTAGAGTAAGTATACACAGAAAGAAAGTACTTTATATTCAGAGATCCAACTTAGAGTAAATATACACAGAGAGAAAGTACTTTATATTCAGACATCCAACAACTTAGAGTAAATATACACAGAGAGAAAGTACTTTCTATTCAGAGATCCAACAACTTAGAGTAAATATACACAGAGAGAAAGTTTTATATTCAGACATCCAACAACTTAGAGTAAATATACACAGAGAGAAAGTACTTTCTATTCAGAGATCCAACAACTTAGAGTAAATATACACAGAGAGAAAGTACTTTATATTCAGAGATCCAACTTAGAGTAAATATACACAGAGAGAAAGTACTTTATATTCAGACATCCAACTTAGAGTAAATATACACAGAGAGAAAGTACTTTCTATTCAGAGATCCAACTTAGAGTAAATATACACAGAGAGAAAGTACTTTATATTCTGAGATCCAACAACTTAGAGTAAATATACACAGAGAAGAAGTACTTTCTATTCAGAGATCCAACTTAGAGTAAATATACACAGAGAGAAAGTACTTTATATTCAGAGATCCAACAACTTAGAGTAAATATACACAGAGAGAAAGTACTTTATATTCAGACATCCAACTTAGAGTAAATATACACAGAGAGAAAGTACTTTATATTCTGAGATCCAACAACTTAGAGTAAATATACACAGAGAAGAAGTACTTTCTATTCAGAGATCCAACTTAGAGTAAATATACACAGAGAGAAAGTACTTTATATTCAGACATCCAACTTAGAGTAAATATACACAGAGAGAAAGTACTTTATATTCTGAGATCCAACAACTTAGAGTAAATATACACAGAGAAGAAGTACTTTCTATTCAGAGATCCAACAACTTAGAGTAAATATACACAGAGAGAAAGTACTTTCTATTCAGAGATCCAACTTAGAGTAAATATACACAGAGAGAAAGTACTTTATATTCAGACATCCAACTTAGAGTAAATATACACAGAGAGAAAGTACTTTATATTCAGACATCCAACAACTTAGAGTAAATATACACAGAGAGAAAGTACTTTATATTCTGAGATCCAACAACTTAGAGTAAATATACACAGAGAAGAAGTACTTTCTATTCAGAGATCCAACTTAGAGTAAATATAAACAGAGAGAAAGTACTTTCTATTCAGAGATCCAACAACTTAGAGTAAATATACACAGAGAGAAAGTACTTTCTATTCAGAGATCCACCAACTTAGAGTAAATATACACAGAGAGAAAGTACTTTCTATTCAGAGGAAGTTGAACTCGACGTCACTCTGACCTCCGTCAGAGCTGAAACAACATCATTCTGATAAATCCAAGAATCATTTAAATGAAGTTTAGTTTGTTTCTGAATGTTTTATTATTATCTGATAAAACCATCTGATTACTTGAAGCATCAGCAGAAGTTAACCGCTCAGATATCTGTGTTAAAATAAGTGGACGGTTTGACAGAAGAGACACTGACAGAAAGAAAAGTTCTGTAAAGAAGAAGCTGCAGACGTCCCGTGCTGATTAGAGATGACGTCACTCAAGGTTTCCAGTCGGACGCCAAACAAACAGAACCCGACCTGAAGAGTGAAACATATCTGTGAAGAGCTTCTTCTGCCTGTGAGCTCTGAGAAGAAAACTGATATTTCAGCATAGTAACTAAGAGAAATGTGTTTATTAACCCTTTATTCTTTTTCTCTTTTTAAGTTCAACAAACTCTTTTTATATATTAAATATTACATTTAGAGTTTTTATTTAAAGTCTTTTCTTTGATTGCTGGAACAAACTTGATAAAACGTCTGTGTACTTTTACTTCAGTAAGACCTGTAATGAAGTATTTGTACAGTGTGTGCCTGTCAGGCTGCACTGAGGGCTGCAGGCCACAGACCCTCAGTGAACAGTTATTAATGTGACATGGTGCTCGCTTCTTCAGACGATCAATCAATAAATCAGTAAATCTTTATCAGCATGTTGTTGTTGCCTCCTGATTTCTGAGCTCCTTCCCTCTCTACACTTTAATTAAAGCACAGAACAGTCAGTGAGGAGATGAAACACACTGACCTCTGATCAGGAGTCACGTCGTTTCACTTTGACCTGATGAAGACAAACAGTTTGACACCAGAGTGAAGAGCAGCATTATGGGTAAATAAACAGAGTTCCTCTGCTCGTCCTGTATTATTGGGTTCGTTACTCCTAAATAATGTTGCACTACCTGTTATATAAGATCATTTACTGACGTTCACCTTATTTAATCATAGCTTCTTATTCCAGCGTCGATCATCTGTCTCTACACACACCTGTCCTGTACGCTCACTGCGCACATTGAGTAGGGCCCCGCAGATTAATCAGGGCCCCGCCTCGCTGTCCTGTCAAAGGTCAAAGCGAGTGCTGATGAGAGGATGAAGAGAAACCAGCTGGCCGACAGGTAAACTCGTGTCCTCTCAGTCTGAAGTCAGCTGACTCACTGCGTGCAGGTATCATTGTTTCTCTGCACATTTTCAAACTCCACACCGCATTAACCTGAATGCTCACTGGAGTTAATCCTGTTCAGGTGAAGTGTGTCGGTGTAATGAGGGAGGGTGAAAGTGAATCTTCGTGATTATCAGGCCGCTTCTTTACTCTGGTCAAATGGGCCAAAAAGAGAAAACATTCAACACTCTTGAAATAGCTAAACGTTTGTAAGGCTTTGATGCACCCGGCAACATAAAACCAACCCTTTAATCCCTGACAATACCAGAGGTAGTTCCCAGCACTAAACTGTCCTGTTACGGTTAACTATCGTCCTGATCCTCCGCCGGTGGTCCGACCGACTCCTATTTCAAACTCCGGGCCTGTTCTGCCCTCCTAACTTGCTCGGCCTGTCGTGTCGACCTCCAGGTTGTCTTCGGCTACGTGCAGGCCGATGTGACCCAAATCCTTATGTGACTCGGATCTGATCTTTTTATGACAGTGTGAACAGGCCGGGTCACGTGGAGTCTGATCTGTTCCAGGTCAGAACTGGACCACTTTCATATGTGGTCCAAATCCGATACAGATCGGATCTTTTTAAACGCCACCTGTCTGGACACTCAGGTCGCATTTGATGCGACTTTGACGTCACTGCAGAGCAGCTGTTGTCACAGCTCTGCTGTGGACGGAGCCGCCATTATTAACACGTGGCTCTCTTCCATCGCTACCTCGCTATTATCTTATTATTCTTCTACCTGAACTCCACCGGACCGGAGCTCTCTTCTGAGTTACGTGTATGCTACTTGTCCGAGCGGACAGACCGGGCAGAGAGATGGAGTGAGCGACTTGTGGGGCAGATGCGTTGTCCAGCGCCAGAAACCGTAATGAAACGAACAGGAAGTTGTGAACACTTGTCATATTTCTGGAGAAATGTGACGATGAAAAAGAGTCTCCCACGTGTTTACTTCTGTGGCCTGCATGTGACGTCGTGTTCTTCTTCTGCGCATGCGGGTCACTTTCAGGCCGCCAACAGTTCACACTGGAGTCTGATATGGGCCACATTTAAACTAATAATGTGAACCGTCAAACTACAAAAATTGGATCTTGAATTGAGCATTAAGGCGTGCAGTCCGAATGTATCCGTACCTGAACTCTCCAGTTCCCAACTCTCTGTCCTGCCTTCAGGCCACCTGCCTGAATTTCCCGTCTCGCCCCGTCCCCTGCCTCAGCCTTTCTACCTGGGAGCCGCTGCTCTGTCCCTGTCTGACCCCGGACTGTGAGCTTTGAGACTCTGTGCTTCCCTGCACTGAAATTAATTTAATGCTTTCTGTTTCAAACAGGTTCAACTTCAGTCCTTTAGTTTCCTGTTTCACTGGAACCACAGCTGATGTGCGTCTTTTTATTTATTTCCCCTTAAATCCTTCAATGTACTCGTCTGATCAAACTGTTGAGCTGAAGACTCCTCAGTATGTTTTTACTATCAGATCCTCTCCATGATCCGGACCAAAGGGCAGCCTCATCACAGAAGCTTGACGTCAAATGACTCCAATTAAAGGAGAAACGGGGAACAAGCTCCTAACAAACCAAAGCTGGACCTCTTCACCTACGCAGTGAGAGACAGTGATGTGAACAGAAAGTGTGATGAACAACTCTTTAAAGAGATGATTGAAGGGAAAGAGACACGGTTTGTCAGAGGGAAAGCTACAGATGGACATACTCTGACTTACAAAGGCAAACATGTCACCATCACAGCCACCATGTCAGACAGTAGCTCAGCTGTCATCAAGGTGCAGCTGTTCTCAGGTGCTAACATGGACCAGTAATCCCAGTTGGCCCACTGAGACAGGAAGTCTGGTTCTGTTTCATCAGGTCACTTTTCATTCTGATTATTATTATACTTAGATTTTTATACTTTCTTATATTCTCTACTTACCAACTTTTACTATGATTTCTGTTCCTTTAATGCCATGCGAGTATCTGAAACGAAGAATTTCCCCTCAGGGATCAAGAAAGTATTCAGATCAGTTTCTCTTTATATATGTGCTGTCTGCTGTGATGCTGAGCTGCTTTTCCTTGTTCTGCTGCTGACTGTGTGTGATGACAGTAAAATGGAATCTCATCTACTAAATATTTGTGAGATAAAACATCTTAA